GCTGCATTAACAATTTATGTCGATTGGAACTGCATTCCCTTGTCGACTAACTTGATTAGTTGACTAGAAGCTCTCAACACTAAGCAAATTTTTTACCTCTGTTGCTTCTTACCCGGTCATTGCCAACCAAGTCATCGATTGACTACTTGGATATTTTTTGGCGTCAACAATACTTAAATGACATGATAATTTAAAAAATTCCCAAAAATTGTTACGATGTTAAATTATGTTGTTGTACTAAAACGGTTTGGTTCCAGCCTTTCCTCGTTCTAAAAGAGTCGTATTTTATCCGAACTCTCTGGTTTCAAAAATGAATTCGTGTATCTTATTTTAATTGGATCGCCACAAGAATTATGGAAAAATACTGTAGCATTGATAAAAATCCCCACCACAAACAAAAAAGAACATGCTATGTTGTACCAGAATTTCCAAAGATATGGAGTGAAAAACAAGAGTTAATATCACGAAAATCCAAACTGGTACTCATGTGATAAATTTACCAAAAACTAATTTTTTACCACAAAAAATCCTAAATTGGTACACCTGTGACAAATTTACCTTCTGTTAGTTTCCGTTAAATTTTTTATCTTTAAATTGCCAAGTTAGATGATTCTCAACAGTTGACGGATATACCAGTTTGGGATTTTACCCCTCCGTTTATCACAGGTTTATCAATTTGTGATTTTTTGTGGTTTTAATCCAAATTAACTGAGGGTAAATTTGTCATAAGTATTTAGGATTTTTGATGGGAAAAAAAATTAGTTTGAGATAAATTTATTATAGGTGTATCAGTTTGGAGTTTTTGGTAGTCAAAAAATTAATTCGGGATAAATTTATCATAAGTATACTAATTTAGAATTTTTCATGATATTAATAAAAAAAACAAAAGGTCCATCACGGATGACGCAATCTGACGAATCTGAGCAGGCTGAGAAACATTTAAATATTGGGACAAGGAAGCCAGCACGGACGTCTCAATCCTCTCAAGATATTCCAATGGATATTCTCGCAAGCCGACACGAGCGTCTCAATCCTAGTTTGGTTCGAAAATTTTCTATCTTAAACTTGGATATGAAAATTTTTAGTTGTAGGCAATTTGCTACCAAATCCCTGACAGTGAAATCCCGAAAACGTTGCTTTCTGATATGACGACGTTGACGGGCAAAGATGTGCGACTCCTTAGCAATTGGTAATAGAATGTCTTGAGAGAGTCTAGGCCTTTACTGACCTCAGCGTCGAAACATTTAAAAAGTGAAGCATTATCATTGGGATTTGGCCAAATTTCGTATGGCCTGTTCATTTCAAATATGTTACGCTTAGTCCTTATACTTATTCACTGTGTTTTTGCTAAGGATGTCTGTTAATTATTTTCGTTGATTGTGTTGAAATACAGCAAAACCAGAAAATAGTTCCTGTTCAACTACTGTCCACCCTGAATGCAAAACCTTAACGGATGGTGAATGTATCACATATATACAAGCTTGGGATTTTTAACATATCAGAAAAAAGTCTAGGATAAATATATCACAATAGATATAGTTGGGGTTTTTGGTGGCTTTTGCCCATTTCATAAAGGAAACTTCAACATTAGAGTGTACATGTCTACCACATTAATCTTTGACCTTCATAATATTCTTCCACAAAATTAAAAGAAATACAAATCTCATTTTTTTTTCCTGCACCACAATCGACATGCCCGAGCTTTGCTCAGGCTAAGCAGCTAGTATAAAATAAGGACAAATGCCACCAAAAACCCTAAACTATGCTCATTGTGACACACGTACCCTAAACTTTTTTTTTTTTGTGACACAAATTCCCAAACTTGTACATGTATAACACATTTACCCTCCGTCAAAGTTCTATCAACGAGAACCATTAAAAATCTACCTACATGGATACCTAAAAGCAAATAGTGTTGACATGGCGCCAATATGGCTTAAGGGTGTGTTTGTTTCACGAAAAACGTAACGTTTTTGGGAAAACGGTTAGTTTTCCTTTGTTTGGTAATATATAATCGAAACGGTTATATGGCTTAAGGGTGTGTTGACGAGCTCGCAGCTCGTTGGCCTCAGCTGAGCTTGAGCTAGCTTGGATCTAGCAAGCCGCAAGCTCGCCGTCCTCCACCGAGCCCAAGATTAGCTAGCCTGGATTTGGCGAGCCTAAGCTCGCCGGCCTCGACGGAGCTCAGGCTAACGGGTTCGCAAATCGCCGGCCTCGGCCGAGCTCGAGCTAGCCTGGATCGGCCGAGCCTGTGGCCAGTCGCCGACTGTCATCGACGATGGCCGGAGGGAGGAAAAAGGAAAAAGAAAAGGGAAAAGAAAAAAGAAAAGAAAGGAAAGAAAAGGAAAAAAAGAAAAAAAAAAGAAAAAAAAAATATTAACAAATTTAAGATAATCGATTCTGGAAAGTGTTATCCCTTTCTTAAATTAGGGAATTCACTTTCCTAAATTTATACATGAATGTTTTCCTTGATCGGAAAGTATTTTCGGTTGACCAAATCATTTTCGGACAACAAAACGGATGAAAGTCCAGAAAATACTTTCCCGAAAAACACTTTCACCAAAACAAACGCACCCAAGTGAAATAAAAATAACGTTGTTTTAGCTGAAAATTATTTTGACGAAAGTTAAATGTATCACATAGATACAAGTTTAGGGTTTTTTATGTCATAGTGATCACAATTTGGGATTTTTGATGTCACAAAAAAATTATGAGTAAATGTATTACCGTGGGCACTGGGCATAATTTTGAATTTTTGTGGCTTTTTTCCATAAAATAAAGGGATATAAAACCCCTATTGCTCAAGTCCTTCTCGCCATTAACATGCTATCATCGCCAACTATTGCTTTAGATTTTCATTATTAATGTATTATTACAACTAAATTATCTTGACAAAAACTTGTGAGGGAGACGGCAGGCACCCAGGGGAAATAAATCACCGCCTAGGCTAGGGTTGAGCATGGTCTGAGGTAGAATCATGAAGCGGACCGAACCGGCCTTGGGAATTGGCACGGCTCCTGGTTCCAAATTTTTAGAACTTATTCGGTGCAGTTCAGCCTCTAGGGGTCTGTTTAGTAACGTTTCTGTTTCTATGTTTTTCTATTCTTTTATTCTCTGGAACAGCAAAAGAACATAAATCTGTTTAATAATGCCAGTTAGTTTTTTTGTTCCCCGGAACAAAAAAAGTGGTCAGGAAATAGATTTGGAACAGAAATAAGAAGTAAAAAAATCTACTTCTCTATTTCTGGAACAAAAGGAGAAACAATAGAGAAATAAGATCAGCTCGTGAGACGAGCGAGGAGAGGCCAAAGGCAAGGGGCAAGGCGAGCGAAAAGAAGCGAGCGGCAACGCGAGTGAGGCAAGCAAAGAGAGGCGAGCGGCAAGGCAAGCAAACAGAGGCATGCGGTGAGGCAAGTGAGGGGAGAGGCCGAGGCGGGTGAGCGAGGGTGAGGTGAGCGAACAGAGCAAGGCAAGGAAAGAGGTTTCTATTTATTTTTTGGTCGAATTAGAGCTGAGTTTCTTTCTACTTTCTAATTTACACGCCAAACTGAACTACATAAGAAAGATTATAACAGAGAAGGAGGCGCTAGGATTTAGAATAGACAAAAGCATATATAATATATATAATATATAATATATAATATACGGATTGGACCAATCCTAAACTTCCAGGATTGAGGATCAATCCGCACAATATAGGGTCCAGGGTCCCAGGACCAATGACCGACCCAATCCCCTGGGAACCAGACCAGGCCGGTCCTGGGGCAGTCTAGGATTGGCCTTGGACCAATGCTCACCCCTAATTCTACGTTACATTAATTGTGCAAAAATGAAATCATGCGTACGTATAACTCCTGCAGGTTTGGAGAGGTGTGGGATTTGTCTTCATAAAAAAAAAGGAGAATGTGGGAAAACATGTCTGATTGATTTGATGATTACAAAATTTAGATGAAAATATTTTGTGAGTGGACTTAAATACTGCTGAAGCTGAGATAATGACAGAAAATGCATTCAGGGTTCCTCATTTTTCATGGGTGAAATTTGCTTAGTGTGGAAAATCGCAAAAACAAGCTCGAAAACTAAGCATAGGTTCTATGATTGTCCGGAGTGTAAGAATGTGAACTTTTTAACTACATAGAGTCCTCCGACCAAAAAAAAATTTACTTAGAGTTCCGAAATCGAAGAACTAGCCAATTTAAATATGATATTCTAAGAGTGCTCCAGCCAAAATTCGTGGACAAAACTGCACCGGAATTTACTAAAAAGGAATGATCAAAATCGACGGACAGGAATTTTTGTTGTTGCTTGCTTTAACTTTCATTTACTTGATAAAACATGAAACAAAAAAAGGAATAAAAAAATAAAAAATTGGCCGGTTCCAGAGTATACAAGTTAGATTTCATGTTCCAAAAACTAGAAATCAGCCTCAACAGTATAGGTTATTCTAGGTTCCAAAAACTGACAACTAGTCCTGATAAGGTAGGTTACGATTCCACAGCTCAAGCTCACCCCTAGCCCAGGCAGCGTCAAAATGTGAGCAATTCGCTGTCTTTTAAATTATCAACAATTAGCTAGTGTCAAACAACACGCAATATTTTGGGCCCCCTAAAAAAAATGCGAGCATGCAATATCAGAGGAAGCTCGGATACTTTGAAAGGAAATAGGGTTAATACTACGAAAAACCCTAAACTTGTACATTTGTGACAAATTTACCCCAAATTAATTTTTTGATATGAAAAACCCCAAACTGGTACACCCATGAAAGTTTACCCAAAACTATTCTTTGACCGCCAAAAACCCTAACCCGTTATACTCATTAACTGACACGTGTCATCCAACTCATAAATTCGATAGTAAAATTTAACGGAAACTAACAGAGGATAAAATTATTACAGGTGTACCGGTTTGGGATTTTTGATGGTCAAAAAATTGATTTGGAGTAAATTTATTATAGATGTACCGATTTGGGATTTTTCGTGGTATTAACCAAGGAAATAGCGGCGGAAACAAAAACTATATCTAAATTGAGAATAAAACGCCTTATTGGGCATAGCCAAGGCCAATAGAACAGAGACTGGTTTCAATAACCTTGTCATCCAAGTTACACAATGATGAAGCAATGTCCCACTAATGTGTACTGGACGTGATCTTAAACACCCAGCACCAACTCTTCGAAACATAGAAATATTCTAAAGATTAGACATCTTTCCCTTCAGTTTTGGACTCAAACGCACATTAACCAAACCAGAGGGAAGCTCTGGCAACTCATGAAGCATGTCGCAGTGAAGTAGATCAAGAGTCTCCAGCTTGGAAAGATGCTTGATTTCAAAAGGCAGGCTGCAAATACCAGAATATTGCCGCCTCATAATTCTCAGATGAATTAGATTCCCAATGTCTCTAGGAATCTCCCCTTTTAAACTCCTACACGAGGAGGCATGTATTTCTTCGAGGCTATGTAGCCGCCCAATAAAACTAGGAAATTCTTTTATGAAGCAATAGTCCATCTTTAACACTCTCAAACTCCGCAAATTTCGAAAGGAGTTTGGCAATTTTGAAACGCCAGTTCCCGACATATCCAGCGCCTCTAAAGAGCTTCCTAATTGGCCAAGGGACTCTGGAAGTTCTCGTATCCAACGACAATTCCTCAATGACAAGTGTCGGAGTTTAACCAACTCTCCAATTCCATCAGAGAGTTTGGTAATCTTCGAATCATCTACTGAGTTGAAAGTGCTGTCAGGTGTTCAAATGAATGGGGCAGGAGACTCAATGGCAAGCAATTGGAGGCACAAAGAGTTTCGAGTTTCTTTGAATCACCTTCCAAGGGAATTTCTTGCACAGAAGTCTCATCAATAAGGAGCTCTTTCAAAGCTTCCAAGCGACCCAGTTCAGCAGGCAACATGTTAAGTTCAGTACAGGACTTCAAATTCAGGCAAAGCAATTTTTTGAGACCCCCGACCGAAGGATCTAAATGGACCAATCAAGAGCATCGCTCTAGAATAAGTATCTCCAAATTTGGGAATCTTCAAAATGTAGGACTTATCAGTAAGTCGGTGCAACCGGTGAGATTTAAGACTTTCAACTGTTCCATCTGGAAAACAGGAGAGAGAACATCATAAGTTCAATCGCCAGATAATTAACAAAATAAATGCATTAGAGCCGTAAATAGTAAACCACCTTGATTTTCCTCCAACCTCCCCAGTCTTCGGTGACTTTGCTCCATGAAAGATCAAGAATGACCAATTCGGTCAGATTAAATTCTGTTGCTTCGAAATCCCTTGGGCACCCTTGCCAACGAAGCCACCTTAACTTTGGAAATACATTTGCGAAATTTCCAGTCATACTTGCATGATCCAATTTCAAGAACCTTATTTAGGCATTGTTTTGAAATTTGTTTCCGCAAATGAATGGGGACAACAATTCTTGAAGTCAAAGCAGAGGGCTTCGACCTCTTCCATTTCCTACATTTGCCAAGAGTAACAAATCAATCTTAAGCTATAATTTACGATGGGACAATTTTGCAAAGTGATAAGGACGAAAGTGCTTTATTTTCTGTGCATGTGTCAAGGCTTATACGTCAAGGCTTTCATTTTACAGAAGAAAGTAAACCATTGAACCTAAAGTCATTACCTCTTTCCTGTTGATTACTTTCAGGTCTGTATCATGCATGTATAGTCTACTGCGCCTTCCAGGATATTTATGCTCTTCTTGATCTATAGTTCTGCTGAGACGCTTCAACAGTTCATGCATCCACAGCAGGTTGTCTCCTCCAATTTTCGCTAGGGGCATCAAAACAAGGTGAGAAGGCAAAAGATCTTAATCAGGCCACATGTATGATGCAATTCGGCTATCAATGCCATTGGCAAACCATACTATGTCCCAAAATATTTGTTTCTGCTTTTCATCTAATGCTTTATAACAGATTTTCAAAATCTCCCCACAATCCTTCAAAATCTCTTGAGAGTTCTCCTCCTATGGTTTTATCAAGTCCTCTATCTTCTTCCAATCTTCTATTGTTTTACCACGCAGAAGTGAACCAATAACTTCAATAACAAATGGAACACGTCCCATAGCTTTGACAATCCGCTTCCAAATTTAGGATAGCCAGGTATTGAACCGTGTGATCCTAAAGCATGATTGTGGAAAAGTTCAAGAACTCGATTGCTATCCATATAATTCAATTCATAAATACGGGCCAGGCCTTGAGAAACATATGTGTGGAGAATTCCACTATTTTCTGAAGTAACAATTATCCGACTTCCAGAACCAAACCAGTTAAGCGGGTCTCTTACAAGATCATCTAGATGAGACTGTCCTTCCACATCATCTAGGACAATAAGAACTTTTCTATTGCGAGTTACATCCACAAAAAACTTGATACCTCTTTTGAAAGAAGAACATCCCCATCTCGCTCAAGAATGTCATATATCAACTTAGTTTGCACAAACTGAATACCACCAACATTTTTTGTTGTTTCTCCAATCTCTGTGAGAAAGCTACAACTATTAAAATAAGAGGAGAGTCGGTTGTATACGGCCTTCGCAGTAGTTGTCTTGCCGATTCCATTAGTTCCATGGATTCCAACAATGCGCACTCCAACATCATTATTTTCTATTTCCATTAGCTTGATTACATCCTTCACTCGATCATCAATACCGATTATATGTTCAACAGTGGCAACTGAGGTCTGCAATGGCTCCAAAGTGAAACTAGGAAGTTTCAACTCCTTGAGTTGTAGAAGTGGTGGAATCCATTTCAGATTAGGACACTCCCATATCCTTAGTGCAGAGAGATTAGGAAGTGATGAAAGGGTATGAAGATCACCTTCTGTGTACTCCACTATAGGTAGCTCGCCAATTTCCAAGTGCTTGAGGCTGGTAAGCTCGCCTAGTGGTGGGAGACTTTTGCATCTTCCACAATGAAAAAACCTTAGCTGGACTAACTTAGGCATGCAAGACATCCAGCTTGGAAACCTTGCACCCCCATAACCTCTTATTTCTAAGCTTTGAAGATTTAAGCTTGGTTGCAGGTCTTTGAGTAGAACTTCATCACTTTCTTTTCCAGCAAACACAAATACTAGTCAAACTAAGGAATCTTTCTTTTTCAAGTTTGCAGCATTTGACTCTGCTACCGCATCTTCTATTTCTCCCTTAACTTCAATTCTGAGGCTTCCTCTCAAATTGCTTAACCTGTTCAACTCCCCTAACCCACCACAATTCTCTGGAAAAGAAACATCCCCAGGCAAAAAGAAATCCATTAGAGTGCGCAAAAGAGTCAACTGGCCCAACCCATGTGGCATATGAGATAGGGCATTACAATTGCTAATCTCCAATTGCCTGAGGTCGACTAATTTTCTTATATCCCTTGGCAACTCTATTAGCTTGCAACACGTATTGAGTTTAAGTACTTGCAAATTTTGCAATCTTGTCATAGAATCAGGAAGCCTTATGATTTCTCTATTTTCAGAGAGATCTAGAAATGTCAAGTGATTCAACTCACAAATAGAACTTGGCAACTTCTCAATACCACTATCATGACAATCCAAGACACGCAAGAACTTGAAACTAGAAATGAGTTCGCAAAGAGTTTTTTCACCCATTTGAGCTAGACTCCTCGAGCTTTTTGTTTGATCCATTTTGATGAATGTCCTCAGATGTTCTGCTCCGAATAGAGTAGTTGGAAGTCCCTGTGATAAATCTAAAGTTGAATCCCACGACACATGACGGGTTCTTTCACCACTTTCACCAATTGACGACCATGGCCAATAAATTGCTCGAGAGTACTCCGGTTTAGCAACCATGCAGGCTAGCGCATTCATTAAATTGTGCATCTTACAAGACGTCACATTTCCAACTTCATCTTTAGTGCAGTCTTGAAAGAAATTCCTCCTAAGTAGAAATAGTCATGAGCAATGTCTTCCATATCCCGATCTACGTTGTCTATGGGCCAGATAAATCCTTCTGCCATCCAGAGACTTGTCAACATTAGTTTATCAATCAAACAATCTCTGGGAAACAATGAACAGAAGGCAAAGCACTGTTTTAGATGGGATGGGAGATGATGACAACTAAGCTTAAGATGTGAGGTTAAGCCATAATAACTCGACTCTGAAGAAATTTCCAGGATCTCATGCTCAAAATGTAACCACTCAGCTTCAGTTTTCTTTAAGTATAATATTCTTCCAATTATTCATATTGCCAAAGGGATTCCACGACATCTTTTGGCTATCCGCCTTGCAATAGTTAGCTTCTTTGAATCTTTAGTCTCTTCTTCTTCCTCACATGCCATTCTAATCAACAAATCTAAAGACGAGCTGTCTGAAAGGGTCTCGAGAAAATAAGAGGTTATGCGCATGAAATGCGCAACTGACTCATTGCGTGCAGTCATCAAAATCTTGCTTCCTTCAGCAACTCCCATCAATAAACTTTTCAAGCTCCCCCAGTGTGGAGGAAACTGTAACCATACATCGTCCATAACTAGCAGACATTTTTTCCCACGAATGTGTTCCATAAGTTGATTTTGCAATTGCTCCAACTCAACGTCATCTGCTCTTTCTGTTGCTGCACTATCTATAATTTTTCGCAATACCATTTTGAAATCAGATAAGTCACCCACACATACCCATATCCTTAAATCAAAATGCTTGTTGACCGTGTCATCCTTGTATAGACATCGAGCTAGAGAAGTCTTTCTAATCCCACCCGTACCCCACATTGAAAGGACAGAGATTTTTTCTTCAGTGTCGGAGTCTAACAGGAACTTCGAAATTGCGCTTTTAGCACCATTTCTCCCTATAATCTCCTCCTCGTACACAAAGGGGTCTGACTGCTCTCTCTCCCTCCATCCTCTCCCTACTTCCAAATCCTTCGCGTACTCTAGCAAGTCGAAAAACCTCACTCTAGCAGCGATGGCTACTATTCTCTTCCTAATGCTCTTCAGCTCTGGAGCAAGTTCGTTTGAAGGTGAAAAGAGGGTATTTACCTGCTTCAACTTCTCATCTTTGCCCGGCAATTCTCGCCGCAAAACTTCAACGTTCCATTCTCCGAGCAAGTCCTCTGCACCATGCGAAGCATCTCCGAGATCGTCAAGCCGTGCTTTGATTCCGCGGCCCTCGAGGCTCCGCTTTTCCGCATTGCGCACTACCTTTGGAGAGTAGAAACGGTTTCCTTGAGCTTGTGGAATTCGCCGACAATACCCCATAATTTTCCTTCCTCGGCGAAATTGTCCAGAATTTTAGCTATCCTCCAGACGATCGCCTCCGCCATTGCCGTTCGGTGACGAAGGATCCTGCCCCTCGCTATGCTCAGTCATGTCGGGGCTCCTCGTATTTCTTACACAGTCAATCAATATGAAAAGACGAATACACCCTCACGTAACGATGGAGGGATTAAAAATGGATTAATACCACAAACAATCCTAAACTAGTACACTTGTGACAAATTTACTCAAAACTAAAAAATCCCAAACTTTTCGTTAGTTTCTATTAAATTTTTCCGTTAAATTTCTAAATTTGATGAAACGTGGCAATTGACGAATATACTAGTTTGGGGTTTTACTTTCTATTTGTGACAGGTGCAATAGTTTGTGATTTTTTGTGATATTTATCCAATTTATTGGGGAGTAAATTAGTTACAAATGTACTATTTTGGGGTTTTTTGTAGTTATAAAATTATTTTAAGGTAAAATTGACATATGTGTACTAATTTTAAGGTTTTTGGTGGTCAAAAAATTAATTTTGGATAAATTTATCATAGGTATATCAATTTGGGGGTTTTTTCTGATATTAATCCATTAAAAATTAAAATCGAGTTGCAATATAGGGCTCCTAATTTTTTGGACGAGGCTATTTCTACCGGAGTTTTGATTAGGAAACTACTACAACAAGTCACCTGAATTTTTTCCATTAGCTAAATTGACCGAGCTAATGGAGAGACTTGAATATACTAATTTGACAAGGTGCAGTACTTCATTGTACTTTTCAAAACCCTTTAAGACTCGACATTAAGACTCTTCATGGACTTATCCTTATTTTTTTTAATCAAAAAAGCTACATAGAAGATAGAAATTTCGTTTTATGATGGCTTATGAATATACAATTAATTGTCTATTTTTTGTTAAATAGCTTGAGGGAAACTATATTTCAAAGTTCAAAATTAAATTCAATCTAATTATCTAATAGATTGTGATCAAGATCAAATTTTGGAAAGGTTAATTAGTTAGAAGGATAGTCAATCTTCAAACATGTTTATATTTGGATCTTATCGAAATAAAAGAAAAGCACATAGAGGAACACAAATAGGAACTTCTTGTTGTTCTACTTCTACCATGAAGAAGTAATCAATACGGGTTGTAGATTCACGGATGAAAACTTTGAAATATGCTTAAAACCTTCTTTAGAAATAATTTGATGTACTCACAGATCTATTTTTTAAGGACAAGTGTGTGATTATATCTGCCAACCATGCTTTGATGATATCCTTAACTGCTAGTTTTTTATTTGTTTTGGAGCTCTGTTGGCTTGTTTTGTTATTGCGACTTTTGCGATTTTCTATCATGTATAATTTTGGTAACGAATGAAAATTTGTTTTGACCAAAAAAATAAAAAATAATCTGATGTGAGTTTGATAGTGAAGAAGGTGTCGCTAAATTTTCAACTCCATCTAACAATTCAAATTTGAAATTGAAAAGCTCAAAAGAAAGCACAAAGCAAGTTCTGTTCAACTTTAGAAACCTACAAATTTATTTCAGAAAAACACCCACAAGGTTTAGATAGGCTAGATAAATAGATTGAAATTTAATTTTCAACTTTGAAATATAGATTCGTTTAAACTATTTGAATAAAAAATAGGTAATTAATTGTGTGTTTATAGATCGTCGGAAATTTAAAAAATATTCTGTATAGCTTTCATGATTATGAGACCATAAATTATAACATACTCTAGGTAAAGTGATAACAAGATGCAGGATAAGATGATTTTTTCTAGGCATAACGGGGCATTTATATTGTGAAACCTATGTGAGAGATGATAAAAATAAATTCAATTTTATTGGTTAGCTTGCTAAAAAAAGAAACAATCCATTAAAGATATAGAAGAAGAGTATTTCTGTCAGTTAACTGAAAAACAGAAGTGTCTTGGCCAAAATGGAGTAGAATTAGAAGAAGGGTATTTCATCAGAATATCAATTTAAGTCCAACAAAACTTGTGAGATAGGACGTATAGGCCCACTATACCCTCGGGCGATCATAGACTTGCAATTTATAGTAATTACATCATGATGTTTAATTAGAGCCGTTAGATCATATTTTGTCTCAACATATGAATTAAGATATTGATGAGCCAATAGATAAAAGATGCAAGGGCGTGACGCCATAAGGCAGTACTAGCCTAACCAAACTTATGGACCAGTTCAAATCAAATTGAATCTCTTGAACATTATAATCCTCCGGTTCTATTAGAGGGTGAAGTCAATTAAATTGGTCATCAAACAATTGAACATTTTTTTGTAATATTTGAGATTTTATTTCCATTTTGTGCATAACACTAAAGATTTTCATACCGGTTGGTGTGAATAATCCAATGTTTGGGTCTCGAATTCCAGTTTTAGCCCGCTTCTTGGAGACTTGACGATTGGGTTGGGTTGGTTTGTGTGTTCTGGTCATACTGATCTATGACATAACTCAACAACAATCTATTGGCAATCAGGTCGGGTTGGTTTGCGCAAGCTAACACAACCAATTAATGTAAAAGGACGAAAACTTTCATTTAACGATATGGAGATTACAACTCGAATAACTGTGCCCCCAATTCCCATTCTCCCTCTAGGACGTCAAACATCTTTAAAGATATGTCATCTTAATGGACGGAAGTAAACATGGCATTGTAATGAAAGGACATCGGTAGTAATCCTACGGTATTTGCAAATGACATTGCTTTTAGGCGATTTTCAATCCTTACACTATTGTTAACTCTTGCTTGGTCGTTTAATTGGGCTCAATTAATTACGTATAGGCTGTTCTAATCTTTAATTTAACAGGTTCACAGCAAATCTTGAGAGGAGGGAGGGTTAGAAGTGAGAAAATGTCACACCCCGAACCCCATCAAGCTCGTGGCATCCCTCTTTGGTCGAACTAGTGCGACGTCCCAGGAAACGACGCCGACCCAAACTTGCACATCAGAGATAAAGTACTAGCGAAAGCCACAAGCACCCAGACAATATTTCACTAGGGGTAAAAGGGAGAATATACATCCATCACCAATTCAAACTTATACAATATCCACCATTTACAATCTACATAATATACATGCACACCGAGCTACTAGAGTTTACACCACCGACGTCAAAAGGATTAGCAGCCTGGGCAAACCCTAACTCCAAAAATGGGACACTACAAAACCTTCATTCTACCCCTAAAACTAGCCCCTACGCCCCTTGGATGGCGTCCACTCCGAGTCCGACTCCCCAGAACACGAGTCTGAATCTCCCTGAGCCACCTGCTCCTCTGAGGACTCCGAATCAGCCTCGATCTCAATCGGGTTGTCCTCATCACCCGACTCTAGCGGAACTTCAATCCGCTCTTCCTCTTCGAACTCTTCATCTAGCTCTTCCTCTGGCTCATCCTCAGGTTGTTCTATGTCTACCCAGACTACGGTAGTATGCTTGATCCAAGTCATATTCTCATCTATCGGATACTCTACAACGATATGGTC